CTTTCTCTTCATGTCGCTGCTTCTTTGACGACAGGGATTCATGTCGTCTTCCTTTTTACTATTTCAAGTTATAGTTGTTCTTCATCTTACAAAACTCTCCAAATCTAAGTTGCTACCTCAATGGGAAAACAAAATTCATGCTCTAGAGTCAGTGTGTGGTTTGTCTGTTACGGGTTACTGTAAAAAACATGGCGGCCTCAGTGACAGAGGACCTGCTATGTAGATATAATGGGGTCATGCTAAGATAAAGAAAAATGCACCGATTCTTATTGTCTGTTGATTACACACTGCGCCTTTAAGCTACGGTGATCTGCTGATGAATCAATTAGTCAACTGACATTTCAGTCATCGCTGAAGCAACAATATTCTCTGGTTTCATGTCAGATGTGAGGATTTGCTGCCAAAAAATACTAAATCTTTAGCTTTTGGTCTGGTCAAAAGAAAAAAACAACCAAACTGAGGACATCACTGTCAAAAATTAACATTAATGGACCTAATGATTAATGAAAATAATCCTTAGTTTCCCATTTCCGACCCTTCTATAAAGACTGTACATCCTCGGAGGGAACCAGTGTCGCCTCCATTCTCACCCTGACTGCAACATGTTCTTTGTTTACGCCTGATTTAACACGCAGTAAACAGTAAAGTCTTTTCAGGGCTTTTTCATCTTCATCTGTCTCCTTGTCCAAGGACAAACTTCACACCTCGAACTGTGACTGGACCAGTTCAGTGTCTCAGTGTCGCTCCAGTCCCATCGGATAACAGACTTTATTGTTATTGTATAAAAAAACATACAATTACATTTTAATGTGCATTTTCATGGGATTTGTTTACATTTACATAATCCTTTACATTTATTCATTTGGCAGATGCTTCATTACAGAGAATAACACCTGCCTTCTTATGCTTTAGTTACATCTATGGTCATGTTGAGACCAGGGTTTGTGCTGCTGTCGGACTGAACGAAGAGCAACTTCCGGCTCACCGATTATAGATGGGGTGGACGAAATAATAGAAATGTCTGATTAGTAAAATGCTAACTTTTTTTCAGAGACTTGGCCTGGAGAGAATTATACAAAGAGAGAAAACTCGGAAGAAAACCGAGAACGATGAAGAGAAAGAGAGAGAGAGAGAGAGGACCTGCAGTAATCAACAAAACACACAATTATACATACAAACACACTAATAACTACAAAGCGCAAGTGTGACTATCAACACAGACACACAAATACAAGAGTTGTTTAGCTAACACTATCAGCAGTGCAGTGTTCAAAGCCCCATTAGCGATGCTTTTTCATCCTCTTCTGCTTTATTTAACAAGAAGCACCAATTAAGAGCTGAGAATTCTAACTGAAGCTACATGCTGCTAAAGTTAGCGCTGCTGGCACCCACAACAAAGTCAACATGTGTAAACAAACCAACAAACACTCACACCCTCTCACAGCAGATATAAATATCTAGAAAAGACAACCTGTGTGTGGCTGGACCAAATATCCAGTTGGGAGAACAGCTCCACTCCACCCACTGCTGCCCTGGAGCTGTGTGTGTTTGTGTGTTCACGTGTCTGCATTTATATGTGTAACAGAAAGCAATATAGAAAGAGAGAAAGACAGTGTGTGAGTGTGTGTGTGAGCGAGGGAGAAACAGAAAGCCAAAGAGAGAAAGGGGGAGAGAGACAAAGAGTGATAAGAGAAAGAAACTAAGAGCAACCATCTCCTAAAACACAGTTTGTATGGACTCCCCGTGTTCTCGGCCTTTATCCTAATGATGCTTCAGCCTTTGTATAAAGAGAAGCAGCTGTTGTCAGTCATCAACAGAAAAGATGGAAGCTCACCTGTTACTGAAAAAGGCCAGGTTTATATAAACATATAGTTTTAGTTCTCTGGCAGTTTACATCTTGGCTTTGTAGAATTTAAGGTTTACTAAACAGCTTTATCACAATAAAAACTGGAAAAACAAAGGCAACCCCAAACCTCTGAGCAGTAGGTTAAATATGAACTATATATTTAAAGGTGCCGTGTGTGTGATTTAGTGACATCTAGTGGTGAGGTTGCAGAATGCAACATTCAGCTAAGCCGTCATACAGCGTGTCACTGCAGTTTCACAGCGATTACCGTAAATGTAGGACAAATTGCACACCGAAAATAAGCGCGGCTAACTTGACCAAGCTAAAGCTAAAAGTGACTCACTTGATTGCAGCGGGTTACTCAGCACTGGCCATGTTTTAGCTAAAACTATCAAACAAAACTTGCATTCAGATCGACTTTACTTTTTGATGTCACTGAACCTTTTGTTTCTATCTGGGAAAGGCCACCTGAGTGTTTATCCTCAGCTTGTGCCATCACCTTTACTTTCTCTTCATGTCGCTGCTTCTTTGACGACAGGGATTCATGTCGTCTTCCTTTTTACTATTTCAAGTTATAGTTGTTCTTCATCTTACAAAACTCTCCAAATCTAAGTTGCTACCTCAATGGGAAAACAAAATTCATGCTCTAGAGTCAGTGTGTGGTTTGTCTGTTACGGGTTACTGTAAAAAACATGGCGGCCTCAGTGACAGAGGACCTGCTATGTAGATATAATGGGGTCATGCTAAGATAAAGAAAAATGCACCGATTCTTATTGTCTGTTGATTACACACTGCGCCTTTAAGCTACGGTGATCTGCTGATGAATCAATTAGTCAACTGACATTTCAGTCATCGCTGAAGCAACAATATTCTCTGGTTTCATGTCAGATGTGAGGATTTGCTGCCAAAAAATACTAAATCTTTAGCTTTTGGTCTGGTCAAAAGAAAAAAACAACCAAACTGAGGACATCACTGTCAAAAATTAACATTAATGGACCTAATGATTAATGAAAATAATCCTTAGTTTCCCATTTCCGACCCTTCTATAAAGACTGTACATCCTCGGAGGGAACCAGTGTCGCCTCCATTCTCACCCTGACTGCAACATGTTCTTTGTTTACGCCTGATTTAACACGCAGTAAACAGTAAAGTCTTTTCAGGGCTTTTTCATCTTCATCTGTCTCCTTGTCCAAGGACAAACTTCACACCTCGAACTGTGACTGGACCAGTTCAGTGTCTCAGTGTCGCTCCAGTCCCATCGGATAACAGACTTTATTGTTATTGTATAAAAAAACATACAATTACATTTTAATGTGCATTTTCATGGGATTTGTTTACATTTACATAATCCTTTACATTTATTCATTTGGCAGATGCTTCATTACAGAGAATAACACCTGCCTTCTTATGCTTTAGTTACATCTATGGTTATGTTGAGACCAGGGTTTGTGCTGCTGTCGGACTAAACGGAGAGCAACTTCCGGCTCACCGATTATAGATGGGGTGGACGAAATAATAGAAATGTCTGATTAGTAAAATGCTAACTTTTTTTCAGAGACTTGGCCTGGAGAGAATTATACAAAGAGAGAAAACTCGGAAGAAAACCGAGAACGATGAAGAGAAAGAGAGAGAGAGAGAGAGGACCTGCAGTAATCAACAAAACACACAATTATACATACAAACACACTAATAACTACAAAGCGCAAGTGTGACTATCAACACAGACACACAAATACAAGAGTTGTTTAGCTAACACTATCAGCAGTGCAGTGTTCAAAGCCCCATTAGCGATGCTTTTTCATCCTCTTCTGCTTTATTTAACAAGAAGCACCAATTAAGAGCTGAGAATTCTAACTGAAGCTACATGCTGCTAAAGTTAGCGCTGCTGGCACCCACAACAAAGTCAACATGTGTAAACAAACCAACAAACACTCACACCCTCTCACAGCAGATATAAATATCTAGAAAAGACAACCTGTGTGTGTGTGTGCGCGTGTGGATCCATGTGCGCGACGTTGCTCTGCAGCGATGGATATGGAGATGCTGATTTGGAAATCTGTCTAGGAACACGCAAATACCAGCCTCGTGTGTGTGTATGTGTACACGTCCTTCTGTGGCTGGGTGGACAAAGTTTAGTTCGATACCGTCTCTGTGAGGACGTCGCCTGGTCCTCACACCGCCAAAGGTCTGTTGGAGGGTAGCTGAGGGACACCACGTCCTGTCCCACTGTCACTGGCTAAACTTAGTGAAACATGGAATCGTTCCAGTTCTTTATATTCCACTGAGTTTCTGCACCGTGTGTCACTGCAGTACAACATCCAGACAGTATTTCTGAGCTAATAAATCTTAATCTAAAACGGAAACATCACGTTGCTAGTGGAGAATCTGCCGTTTTAAACCGAGAATGCACAGACACAGCAGCAGCATGTGGGATGATTCCGACACACACAGGGGTGTGTGTGTGTGGCACATGGGCGCATCAGTATGTATGTATGCAAATTCATGTTTATACAACCATGTGTGCAATGTGCATGCAGACATGTGCACGGCGCTCACGTACACAAATCGCATATTTAATTGTGTGTGAGGTTTTACCTTGAGAGTGGGGGCATTTTTAGGAAATGGAGAAATGTTTGGAAAGTTAGGAGAGTGAAAGAGCTGCTACGGTGTTGAAGGTAAAGACATAAGATGAGATTTAGGTGAGGTAAGGCGCTGGAAAACGTGGCCTTTGCTTTACACACTGTAAACGTATTCACAATGGCAGGCTCTGTCTGGCCTCTGACAAATCTGTTCCATGTTGGGCAAATAATTTGCATTCATATCTCTTATTTTTCAGTGTTTAGTGTTTGCACCGCTGGCAGATAATGAAGTAGTTCATCTGCTGAGCAAAGGAATTCCATAGTTTATCCAATTCATTCCCTGTAGCTGATTATAGTGATACAGTAAAGAACTGGAAGCTGTTGACTACAACAATCTGCTCTGCTGCTCGGTGCACCAGGCTGGCGTTTCCCTGAACTCTTCTCAGCTCAGCTGCCACATGTTGCACCACTGGTCTTTGAGTAGTGGTGTGCATAGCACCAGCTTGTCTGTGTAAGCCATGTCAGTGAGGGTCCTTGCAAGTGTAGCAGTAAAAAAAGTGCACGCATGCTCTCACCAGGTGTGTGTCCAGGTACGCCCTGAGGCTCTCCAGCTCCTGTCTGGGCTGCGTCCAGTTCTCTGTACTGTCCAGCGCCTCCTGCAGCCACGAGATGAACCCGTCCAACTGCTGCACAAAGCACTGGGGGCGAGAGAGGCAGGGGGGCACAGAGAGAGAGAGAGAGAGAGAGAGTTTAGTCCAATCATTTTTAAAAAACAGTAATAATATGTATAACCACTGCTGCCCAGAGCCTCCTGGAGTCACATCCAAGCAACACAATGTACACAGCCCACTGCAGAAGAGAAAGAGCACTAAAAAGAAGGAAGCAGGAAAGGACAGAAAACAGAGCAAAATAAAAGGTAGTTGGAGAGATAAAAACGGATAAATGAAAAAAATCCAACAGGTAATGGCATGCAACCATGTGAGAGAGAGAAAAGGCAACAGATTGGAAGGTGGAGAGGATGAGAGAATAAGGATAAAGCAGTGGAGAGGAGAGGAGAGGGGGAGCGGCCGGGCGTCGTTTCAGAGCTGATTCCAGATGAATTAATTCAAGGACAGAGAGACAACAAAAACTAGACCTGCAGGATGTAACAGGTAAACACACATTTGGATAAACACAGAGAGAGGAGAAAAACACAGGAGCAGATTTATACAAGAGTGAAAGAGTGGAAATACAGAAAAGAGAGTGGAGGGAGTGAGAGAGAGGCGACGGACGGGCAAAAAGAGGAGAAACAGAAAACTAGAAAAAGAGAAATATCAAAAATTTACAAGAGGCAGATGGAGACAAAATGAAACAGGTAAAAATTCAGAAGGAAATGAAAATACAGGAGAGGTGGTAAGACATGACAAGCAAGAAAGAAAGAAAGAAAGAAAGAAAGAAAGAAAGAAAAGGGGATAAAGACAAAGCTAGAGAATGTAAGAGAGAGAGATGGAGGTGGAGTGAGGGATGTGAGGGATGATAAAGGACGAGAGTGACATGTAGGCTATGTCTTCATCGCTGGCAGGCTGCCCTTCATTAGAGCTAGCAGATAAACATTTAAGGAGAAGAAGAGGAGAAACAACAGAAGGGGAGAAGAAGAGCATTCGTTGCTTGGTGGACAGCTACTGCCATCTACTGGCCAAGAGGAGGCCAGACACAGATCAGCAGAGGAGCTTCTGCTCCTGAGCTCTTTTTCCGTTTGGTGTAAAACATTGGAAGGTTCTGAAGCAGGATGGTAAAACACGTGAAACAGTATCTGATCACGTATCGACTTCTTCTGTGAAATCAGCTCACAGGAGGAGTTTAAAACGCTAGTCATGAAGGAGAGACAGAGGTGAAGGAGAATCATAATAGGAATAATAATAGCTGAAGCAAAGAAACAGCTATCAAATGTCAAGTTAAAATTATTTAAGTCAAAACTGAAAGATGAAATGAGTTTAATAGCAGCTTGGCCTTTGTGTCTGTTCGGTTCCTCACAAAACAAAATGAAGAGAAAACCTGTGGCTGTCACTCTCCTGCCAGGCTACAAACCAAAACATGCATGTGATAAAACATCTTCCTGAAACTCTTTTTAAAACATAAAAAACAGCAAGAAAGTAAAAAAAAAAGACACTTTTAGCTTCAGTTTGTAATTGAGATATTTGTCTTTTAACCACAAACAGCTGGATGTGATAACTGCACGTTGCCTCTCAGAAGTCATACAAATAGAAAAGCTTTAGAGTCAATGACAGGGGCTCATTGATACTCAACGTGTCTGTAAGAACTTCACCGACTTCATTTCTTTTTCTAAAATATCCAGCACTTGTGGTAACTAAAGCATGATTAACAATGGTACATTCATGAACACACAACCAGTACGGTAAAAGCTCAACACAAGGCCCAGGACCAGCCGGGTCTTCTCCAGCTGTGAAAGACGCTCCAGCCACTTTCCGCCAACAGATTTTAGCCCACAGCTCGTCCAAACCAAATATCTGTCGCTTGTTAAAAACTCCCTGTAGGACACTGGTCTGATGCTCCTCTCTGCAGCAACAGTGCCTTCCAAATCAAAATCATCCTTACAAAAATTACTTATACGACCATTTCCTCATCTGCCACTGCTATGGTTCCAGTTTGGTTTAATTACAAAAACAACTTGTAAGTAAGACTGAAGCCCCATTCAGATGGGAATAGCAGCACGGGCGAGGTGGGGAATCAAATCTGAGCTCCTCTCTAAAACCACTCCAGCATTTTAAACAGTGTGAAATTACAAAATGTGTGTAATATCTTGGACGGATTACTGAACGGGCCTACAGGGCACGGGTCCAGAGGCCCGAGGGACCGGGGCCCCAGACCCGTGGCTCAGTAAGAAGCGACTGTTAATGTTCCTTATTGGAAAGTCAAATTAGTCACAAAGAGGTGCAAAATTAGTAAAAGTAGACAAAGAGATGCAAAATGAGCACCTCACAAAATAAATTAAGCAAAGACAACCACAAAGAAACACATGGCGACTAAAAAGAAGCAAAGTAACTTAAAAAAAATGTCAAAGCAACTAGAAAGAGCTGCCATCATTAAATATAAGCCCCCTTCTTTCCACCACCTGGTACCAGCTCAACTCGACTCGAGTCTACTCACGTTTGGTGCCAGGTGCTTCGTTTTCCACTGTAGATATACCCCCACCCTGGAAGTATAGCTGGTTATCACAGCGACGCTGAAGCTGCCATGAAGTCACTGGTGTCTCGTGACTAAGAAGTGGCAGCTGCTTTTATGAACAAATGAAAAACGAGCGACTGGTGTCACCACGTGTAAACATCTGGGTACATCAGTGGCTGCATAGTAGTGACAGATTCCTGTGACCAATCGCTAGTCTGCCATGTTTACATCACTGCTTGGTATCGCCTCAGCTCGCCTGGAACCTCAACAGAGGTGATACCAAAAACAGTACGGGGTACCATCACCAACCTTTGATTGATAAACAAATAAGTTGAGTCGAGTCGGTACCAGGCGGTGGAAAAGGGGCTATAAACACAAAATGATTAAATCAAGACTTAAAATTACCACAAAGACAGAAATTAACACAATACAAGTGTGAAACAGCCAAAACAGATGCAGAAAAACTAAAGAGACTCAGGATTTTGCTCCTGTGCCCAGTGTCTCATAATCAGTCCAAGTGTAACAGACATGGACACAAACCAAAAGACAATACCTGGACCTAGTGTAGCTTTTCCAGCACTTTGCTCTGAAGGACAAGGAGCTTTCTTTACCCAGCAGGTTACAGATAAAGCAAACATGGCCCTGATTATTACTGTAGCGGGGTAGATACCCACATACTGCACACACTCCGGACAGGATTACAATCAGCTGATGCAGGTCATGTCCAAATCATCCCACCTCCTCTAGAGAAATACATCCAGACTAAGAGGTGAAAGTATTTGTAGTGCAACGTAGACTGATGCATTTTCTTAAACACTACTTTTTAAAGTAAATGATCTATTCAAGTATTTTTACAAAACAGAGTTGACATTAATATTTGAAAATCCCTCGTCATTAGCACCCACATGAGCAGCTGTGCAGACAGTTAAAGCTGAGCCCACATTAAAATGTATGCCACCAGTGTGTGGTTTCAGGTGGAGCGCTGCAGGCAGATACCTCCACCGCACACAACCACACATAGGTCAGCGTGGAGCTGCAGCCGGGGTGCAGCACGGCTACAACAGGATGGGGAGAGAGGGAGCACAAGGTAAACCGCAGTACGCTGAAGACGTACAGCGAGGCAAACTGTAAAATTCATTCCTCCCAGTTAGACGTGAATAACAGGTGTAGCCGTGAGTGCAGATCATCAAGAAGACAATTCTAATACTTTACACACCGGGTGTTGTTCTCATATCTTTCACTGAGCGATATCTAGAAAACTAATGGCAGAGCGGAGGAGGCTGCGACGAGAAGCTAAATCTGATGGAAACTACTTGAGCTGCTGAGCGCGCATCCACACTCACACCTCGCCTACAAATCACTGTATTGGATCTTATGGGGAAACGTGTCCACTCACCTGAACCAATCGTGTGTGTGTGTGTACACTCAACATATGTGCTGTGTACGGTTAGAAACAATGAGCGTGTCTGAGCGGCCGCATGTTAATTACAACTGTGACCCTAAAAAATGTTTGTATAAACGTCAATATGATTCCATCCATGTGGTCATCACCCGTTATGGAGGAGAGATGGAAATCAAGAGTATTGATGAGCAGAGAGGGACAAAGGGGGAGGAAGAGAGGGAAGGGGGGCACAGGAGGAAAGGCTAAGAGGTGAGGAAATAAAAGAAAAGCAAACGAGATCAAAGCCGGAGGAGGAAAGAACAACAGGAAAGGAAATGAAATAAAAGGAAAAGGAAGGTTGACTAAATGAAACAAGAAGAACAGAAAGAAAAAGATTTTTTAAAAATGACAGAAAAGCAAAGAAGTAAACAAAATGCAAAGAAAAAAGATCATGAGGAAAGGAAAGATGATTAGTGGAAAGGCAAGATTCAAAGAAATGAAAATTAAAGCAGATTCAAGGAGAGGAGAGGAAATGACATTAAAGATTTAAGATGAACACTGGAACTAGAAAAGAGGAGAAATCCAAGAAGGAAAGAAAAGGAAAAGAAATATGAAGAGCACAAGAGAGGAGGGAAAATGAGACAAGGAGAACAGGAGAGAACAGAGCAGCGAGGAGGACAGAGGAGGAAGAGGATGTAGCTCTGAACAGCGTTGGTTTGGATATTGACCAGCATGCACTGGGCTGCTTATGGCTGCTTTGATGTCTCTAACCAGTGAAGCCCCTGGGAGGTCTGCTGGGAGCTGAAACGCCTGATCTGATGATCTGCCGCCTGGATAACCGCTCTGATATCTGCTTCATCTCTTCCTCCTGAGGTTCTGCTCTTCACCACTGGATAATTACCGTTCAGCTGACGGGCTTTCTGAAGGACAACACTAAGAGATCTGGACTCAAACTCCCGGCAGACCGTGTTTGGTTTCGATGAGTTGTGTGTTACAGGCAACAGGTCGGATCTGTGTGTACACAGAGCACAAGACAAACACAGTGCGGGGCTGCTGGCGTTTAAACCTCAAACTCTCATTACATGTGGTAAACAGCTTGTTTGCAATCGCGTGACTATTATGACCCACGATATTCAGATTGAGGCGAGGACA